CATGTGATTGGTTGATTAGATAATTGCATTAATGAGAAATTGAACAGGTGTTCCTAATAATCCTTTAGGTGAGTGTATATGTGTATGTGTGTGTGTGTGTGTGTGTGTGGTCCAGGAATACCTTACCTTGTGGGGACCAAATTTATGTCCTAAAAATGCAAAAACTCTTGTATTTTGTTTGGTTTCTTATGATTATGGATAGGGTTGGGTAGGGGTTAAGGTTGTCATAGTTAGCATTAGCATTTTTCCCATAGAAATGAATGAGTGGTCCCCAAAAAGATATGATTACACGACTCTGTGTGTGTGTGTGTGTGTGTGTGTGTGTGTGTGTGTGTGTGTGTAAGTATAATACTACGTGCTTATTCATGTGGTCTACATGCAGCTCAATGTGAACGTAAATATGGAGCAGGACACAGGGGTGGGTTGGCAGATTTCATTTTTTCTGAAGTTTTTTTCTGCCTGTGTCCTAAAAATACAAAATTATTAACATACTATTTTAACCAACTAGGTGGAAAAGCAGGGCTGGCCAATGAAAAGGAAGAAAATCAGAAATTTGTATTAAAGTAGGTTAAAAATCAGATTCTCACTTTTTTTAAAGCCCTGGTAGGTTCATGAATTTCTTATGGTCCAGCTGCCTCTGTGGTACCTTCCCTCCATAGACCAGCAAACAGGGCAGTGTATGTGTATTACCTGTAAGTCCACATCTTGTGTCTGCATGTAGGTGCATGCACGCATGCAGGTTAGGGCACAAAGGCTGCGGGTGTGTCACACGGTTGGGTGGAGCACGTGCACACAGGCGTGTGAGGAACACTCACGGTTTTGTCATCGTTCTCAAAGGCCTCCCGCGCCTCCTCGTAGGAGCAGATCTCCTCTCTGCATTCCCTCTGGATGTTGCCCTGCTTAATCTCCTCCAGCAGACTGTTAGCCCTGGGCAGCCTCCGGAGCAAGCCATTGGCTGTCTCTGCTGACAGGAACACTGCGAACCAATCACAGACAGCTTCCATGGTGAGGACCAATCGAAAAGAATGTTTTTAAAGTCAGATTCAATTACTACAACCAATATAAATTCTCGTTTTGATTTAAAAATCTGTTTCATTTCCTGTCCAAAACAGCAGTCTGGTTATTCTATATTAACTATTAGTATGACAAGTACCAAATTTTCAGAACAAATTTAAGCGAATGGTTAAACCTAACTACTTTTCCATCTTTCCACCCGACTGAATTACAGTATACCTCAGTATAAGACACTGCCTTGTACTGATCGCTGACAGGATTTTTACATGCATCCTTGTTATTCCCTGAGCTCTTTTGTTGCCAGAGTTGGAAACATGGATTATGCCAGATTTACAAATACAACTACTGGGTCATGTTTTGGTTAAAAAAAGAAAACACAGAAATACATAATCCGATTGACGTTCTAGATTGTATTAATTGATAAACAGCTGAACCCTAGCATTTAATTGTTGATTTTGTTTTAACGATAGGTTTTAGGAATCATAAGAATTATCAATAATGTTTTTCTGTCATACCTGAAACTAACTAGATGTTAGCTTTAAACACTATTTGCAGTTAAAAATAATTTCACTTCTGCTTCCCAGAAGCTCTCAGTTCCTTGTGGAGTGAGCAACAATGACTGATTACCCCACCCAAAATTTTCTGTCCTCCAGAGAATTATGTCTGAGTGCACGTAAGTGTGTGTAAAATGATTCTCTTGTAAACAGATCACTTAGGCTCCACTTATGTGCGTTTGCGCATTTTCTCAAGACAAACTGCTGAACAGCAGTTTTTAAAATGAAAGACTATAGAAATGATTAAATAACCTACCGCATTCACCTGAAAAAAACAATATCAAGATTGATGGATGGCTGATAAGCTCTTAAACTCTTGAATGTGCTGTCCTCAGCCAAATCTCTGAATATCTCACAAAACAACTTCCTGAGACGTCTTTAGTCTGGTTCCAGACCTGGACACTCGACTGATCCTGCCCTCTCACGGACACCCAAAGCCGGAAAAACTGCATCTTGGTCATCTGTCCTGATCTTGCTAGACTACTCTGCACCTTTTCACAGTTAATAACCAAATTCTCCTGGTCACCCTTTCTGCACTTGGCATCACAGGGAATGTGATCTGGTTTGACACATACCTGTGAGAGAGATCCAACCAAGTGGCATAGGGTGCAAAAGTGTCAAAATCTCATCAGGTAACAACCAGTGTTCCCTACAGCTCTGTCCTCAGCCCTCTCATCTCGCTTTACATTACCTCTCTCGGTCAAGATCTCATGGCTTCTCCTACCACTATGCCAATGACATTCCAATCTATTTGACCTTCTCTACTGATGACGCCACGGTCTCTGCTCAGATATCTGCATGCCTGGTTGACATTACAGCCTGGACAAGAGACCATCACCTCCAGTTTAACCTCTCCAAGCTTCTTGTCTTCCCTGCAGCCCTACCATCCATCATGACATCACTGTTCTGCTTGGATTGTCCACACTGTCACCATCAAGGTCTGCTAGGAACCTGGGGGTAATGAATGATGACTAGCAGGTCGTTGCTGAGCATAGAACAGCGGTCTCCCAATCTTGCAGATTTAGCTTGTAAAACATCAGGAAGACCTGGCTTTTTTGTCTCAGGATGAAGCCCAGCTTCGATTCCAGACAATTGTAAAGGCTGATTTATACTCTATGCTGATTTAAGATGGACTGAAGCAAAATGGAAAACTGCCCTGTGGTCTGACAAATCAAAATTCTTTCAATTCTCTTTAGAAATCATGGATGCCACATCCTTCAGGCTAAAGAGGAGAAGGATCATCCAGCTTATTATCAGCAGACAGTACAAAAGCAAGGATTTATGATGGTATGGGGGTGCACTAGTACCTATGGCTTGGGTAAGCTTACACATGTGGGAAGGCGCCATTAATGCTGAACAATATATACAGGTTTTGGAGCAACATATGCTGCCATCCAGACAGCTTTTTCAGAGAAGGACTTATACATTTCAGCAAGACAATGGCAAACTGCATTCTGCGGATATTACAACAGCATGGCTCCGTAGTGGAAGAGTCCACGTGCTAGACTGGCCTGCCTGCAGTCCAGACCTGTCACCCATTGAAAACACTTGGGAGTATCATGAAATGAAAACTATGACAAAGAAGACCCTACTGTTGAGCAGTTGAAATCCTATAAACAGGCAAGAATTGGACAACATTTCACTTTCAAAACTCCAGCAACTGATCTCCTCAGTTCTCAGCATTTACAGAGTGTTGTTAAAAGAAAAGGTGATAAAGGTGATGCCACACGGCGGTAAATATTCCCCTGTTGCTGACACCAAATTCAAATTGAGCATATGATTCTCATAAATCAATAAAATTTCTCAGTTTCAACATTTGATATGTTGTCTTTGTTCCATTTTCAATTAAATATGGGTTTATGATTTGTAAATCATTTACAATGTACACAGTGTCATGCGTTTTGGAAAAAGGGGTTGTAAAAAAAACTGCAAATTACAATATTTAACAATGTTGTAAAATTAAAAGAACCAAGTAACACCTTGGTATCACCTTCCCTATGAGATGCTGCTAACTGAATGGTTTGATTTTAGCTATGAATTCTGGGATTCTGTGCAATATCACAACCAAAACTCTCGTGCTGTTTGCAACCATAAAGGAATACTATTGGTTTCTATTAAAAAATGTTTAATAAAGCCGTAACTTTTACACACAATTAAAGTATACTCTTATAAATGGAATTGTGTCATCTTGCTTAGAAAGAAATATCAATATACCGTAAAAATTCAATGTAGCCTATCACCCAGTCCTAGCTTTAGCAATGTCATATTTTTCTCTATGCTTCTCAAATAAATTGCGCGGCCCACCTCGATCCTCGCTGAGGCCCCCTAGTGGCCCCACAGCCTCCTGGGTGAGTTCCACCGGCCTAGCTCCTGCCCTAATACTGCTTAAATTTGTACTTGAGCACTAATTGGATGATTAGTCCAGCAGCACTTACGCCTAGTTGACCCCTTGACTATTTGCAGTGTACTAAATGCCTTGCTTCTACATCGCTTTGGATAGCATCAGCCAGATATGAAAATTTAATGTAATACAATGCTAAAATACACACAGTTTGCTTTGAAAACCAGATATTTAAATTTAATTCTCAGTTACCAATAACTATTGGTCTGACCAAAAATATCAATAACCAATCAAACTGTTGCCTAGAAAAATAGCCACAATAACAAAATGTGCCAAATATCTGCATACATTAAAGCTGAGGGCCTCGGAACAGCAAACAGAGACGAACTGTCTCTCTGCTCTGTGGGATTGCACACATGAGCACGTTGACAAGGACTGCATTATATGTCCAGCTGAGCAAAAATGCCAAGTAGACGTATGCAAATTACATCCAGAGAATAAAAAGCCCTAGAGCCTTTGAGGTCAACAGCAACATTCATCAGTGCTAGTGATGTACAAACACACGGTTATTCTATAGTAATGCTAAAGGACTTTACAGGAAATGAAACCCACAGTTCAATTTTAATTGGAGGTGAATTTATATACACACACCTTCAAACAACCAAAAAAAGATATGGGCCACAAATGGTGATCTGCTGCCTGTGAGTGTTTCAGGGTTAAGGTTTCACAACCAGGTAATCTATGCTGCATGCTAGTCCAGAGTCACACGCATTAAGCAAAGGATGTGTGTGTTTTGGTTGCAGTGAGGGAATGAAGTGATAGATGGAACTGTGCAGAGCAATCGGATGAAAAAGGTGCTGGATCACTCAAATGAGAGCAGTACATACAGGCGGGGGAAGACACACACACAGTCAGCTTTTAGCTGTGAGAAGCTAGACAGGATGAAATGGCTGTCACTGGTTTTAGCCCTGTTCCTGTTAGGGAGAAACAGCTGTACACTGCTGAGTCTTCCATGGTCATGAAGAGGTCACTTAGGCAAGAGTATAACAACATATATCCAATGTCAAAAGCATTTCAGTAATTCCCTCTGATACAACAGATACATCTGTCTATCACCGCCCAAATATTTTCTTAGTATGGGGGTCATACTGTAAAACTGTTTTTCTGCTAGATCCTAATAAAAACAAGGATCTGGGCGAGATCAAGAAAACAGAATTAAGAATAGAAAAGGAAAAGCACTTGACTATTTGAAGGACTGGTGGAAATGGTCTGCCTGTGATTGTGGTGTAGCTCTGTAGGTCGGGGACCATGATTGGAAGGTCGTTGGTTCAAATCTCATGACTTGCAGACTGTTTTCACTATTGGGCCGTTGAGCAAAGCCCTCAACCCCAATTCCTCCAGGGAAGCTGCCTGATCCTGCTCTCTGATCCTCACTTGTAGCGTGAGCTAAATACACGTATGCGTATTTCCTAAAGGATATGCTGAAATACAGTGTATGAGGCCACATCATGTTCTTCCACAATTCACAGTGTATCACAATTTTTTACAAGTTATGAGTCAGAATCACGGCATCAGACTTTCAGTTTTCCATTTTCATCACACTGGCTGAATCAGCTATCGTTTCCCTTCTTTTACACCCACGTTCCTCCATCAGCGTAATTCAAACATACACAATTATCAGTCAATGAAAGTTACAGCAGGCACACTAATTTTCGAATAACAGACGAAATCACACCATATTTGCAATCATCCACAGTATAAAAAATATGTCATTGCGTCTTTACAGGACTGTCATGCATTTAATGGCTTAACATATTCTGTCTGGTATCTGCATTTTGCTCTTGGCAAATGACAGCAAAATGAAGACTTCATGAATGGCATGGAGCATTAGTGTATCATAGGTGACCAGTTAAAAGACATCTCAAAATTATCCACAGTGTGACTGTGTGTGTATGTGTGTGTGTGTGTGTGTGTATACTCTGTGATGGATTGGCATACTGCAGGAGTGTACCCCAGCGTTGTGCCCAGTGCTGCCTGGAATAGGTTCCAGGCAGGAAGATGAATAGGTAAAGAACTTTAAATGTAACGGTAAGACCACAAGACAAGAACTGGTGAATAATTTGAAACATTACTTACATTCCTAATCATTTACAAATCTACAGCAAATTAAAACAAGGATCAACTGAATTTCAATGTCAAATTAAAAAGGTATATAGTGTTTGTTTGTGTATTAGGTATTGTGAATGTGAGTGTAATGTTCTCACTAACTTAACAAAAGTTGCAGGATAACATTGCCAAGGATGGATCATAAACTTGTGAACGTTGTGGAAAGCAGACTAGAGCTCTGATCCAAAGCTGGCAGGATAGATTCAGGATGAAATGTAACATGAATTTAGATGAGAAAGGTGGAGACTTCCAATGCTTTAAAGAGGGGAAGGCCAGCAAGTCACAAGCTTTCAAACACAACGAAATAAAATGCCAATGCAAAAAATACACCAGAAACACAATATTAATGTCCCAGTCGCAGCACCCTATGAATTTTGTACGGGCACTGCATGCGTGTGAGAAGAATGTGTGTTTTCTGTACTCACCATTTGCCATAACTGGGTAAATGCTCTTCTGTAGAGATGGACCCTACAAGCAAAGATCAAGAGACTGTTTACTACCCGACAAGTCGACAGTGCACATAAAGTCACGCATGTATTTTAAACGATTCCTACAAAAGTAATTGTGTTTGGGACAGAACGTTTTCATGTTACAGGGTAAGGGAAACGGTAAAACTTATAAAATCTCTCCCACTCATTGATACATTGTATTGCCAGTCCCCCCTCCCCCATTCGAATATATTCGTACATTAATCATCCACATTGCTTGTTTATTTTGGAAATGGCAACCCCTAATCCATGTTATATGGTCCGCGAATTTTTGGTACGACCTAAACCGGTCTGCGGACAACAAAAGGTTGGGGACCCCTATTACAGAGCAGGGAGAAATTAAAGGACGCATAGGTAACACTGCGACCTGATAGATGAACCACTCCCACCCTTATCACATCTAATGAGAGTTACCGTGTTAAGCAGATAGAAGATCTGAGCTCCGCGAAAAGCTCCTGAAATCGCTTGACCAAAATAGGACACTAGATCAAACGTTAATATATTCCCCCACTAATCTTTCCACGTACTTTGTCTGATTTTAATCACCGATGGCAATAAATCAATGTATTCAGTTAACAAACCGGTTTGTTTCTGATCAGACGTCTATTTGGTAGCTACAATTAATTTAACGTAAATAATTTATCAGTCACCATATTTTCTAATAGGTACTCACCCTGCCCTGACCGAGGTTTATGCTAAAAATGAAGAGTCGATATTGCGATCGAAAGTGCTTCCCGTCGCACTAGAGGAAAAAAAACCAGCTTCACGTATTTTAGCCTTCAGAGACCCAGAAACCAATAACATATTTCACGCGTCCTGGAATCGCGCCCTGAAACTTACACGACTGCCGTTTGTTTTGTCGCTTGGTAAATATGTGCCGGTCCGTAACCAGTGCCCCTGCGCGCGCTCGTGCGCATGCTCCTGCGGCGCGCGCGCGCGCGCGGGGGGAGGCGGGGGAGACCTCCGTAAACTTATTTCTATGCCGTTTCGTGAATCTGTGGCGGTCGTGATTTTCCGAAACGTAAGTAAGGATTATGAATGTATTAATTAACATTCATAAAAGAAGCACTACCTGATTGCCAAGTGATGTTCTTTGGGCTACGACGCTTTTGGGAAACGCCCCTATTTTTTCGCACAAAAAGTCTTCTTTTTGCTAGCTATGAGGTATCTAACTAGCTAGCTAAATAAATAGTAATATTATTAGCCTCGGTCAAAGCGGCCTACTGGGTAGCGCTTATTTGTGAATATTAATGAGTCTGCGTCAGAGCTTGTAACAGCTTTTCACCAGCCTATCAGATAGCGCTGTCTTTATAGCTATTAATAAGCTTCCCCTGCCATACTTTTATAGAACTTGGTTTCTTAATGGCAACAAAGAAACAAATAATAAATTACCTTGCCGTAATACGTTTCGTAAATTCGCCCGCGCGCTGGTTCGTAAACAGCGCATTTGCGCGAGCTGCAGCGGCACTCGAGGGGCGGACATGCAGGCTGACTCCTACATCTGTTGAACGCCACTTTTACTCTTCGTGGACCATGCCCTGTCCTTGGAGTTATAAGTTATACACATCGTAGTTGTTATTAAACTCAATGCGTATATGTGGTCTATATATTATAGTTTCCATGTAGCAGTAAATGGAATAGCCTGGGATGAGAAGCAGAGACAGACACACAATGAAGTTCTTATTTTGTACAGTCCCGATTCTGCAAAAAGTAAAATAGAAACAATAGCACAGTAGATAGCATATAAAATATACATATCTACGGCAGATAAAAACAATAAAGCGAAGACAAAAATAAAGTAGTTACTAATGTAAAATATATACACATGCATAGATATACATAAAAATTTCAAATATAGGCTACATATGGGTATAAGAATGGGATGTGCATTATAAAGTGGCTGCTCCAGTAAATATACATTATATATGAATATATACTTGCGTATAAATATTGTATGGAAAAAGAAATGTGCAGCGTAACGTGGCTTCTGCTTATCAGTCCAGGATAAAAAGGTGCAAGTGCCCATAAGGTGCAGAGTGCAGTGTGCTGGATAATCATTATCATAATGCTGAATGGCAGATGGTGCTCCTTCAGATGGCCTGGGGGTGTAATCCCCAAACAGAGAGTAGTGCCAAATGACAAATGGTATCAGTCTAATATCGATTCCTTTTCCGTGCCTCTGTTAAATTCCCCCACCACCATATATTTGTGCTGTTTGACTCACTTCTGCATTGCTTTGGGCAGAAGTGTCTGCTACTTAAAATAAAATTAAATACTAGCAGGGGTATAGCTAGAAATTCTGGGCCGACTGACAAAATGTGACTTTGGGCCCCTTACACCCCCCCCCCCCAAAAAAAAAAATCACAATTTTATGTATGCCCCCTGTAAATTGCTGGACTCCCTGAATTTTAGGGTTAGGGTATTTGTCTAGGGTATTACAGAACTTTTGTCTCAGTTCCCCTGAAAAGTAATTCATATCCATGTAGCAGTCTTCCTAAGCATCTTGTCCAAATCTTATTGTGGGTATTGTGGGGACACCCCCCCCCCGCGCGCGCCACGCTAAATTTATCGTCGGGGACGTGAAGCGGGGGTGGTGTCTCATATTTCTTCATATTAAGCGGCAGCCCTACTGAGGGCTGACCTCCCCTAAGGGTGAAATCCTAGAATCGCCATTTGATATTGGTTTAGTAATTGTATGCAAGTCATTAGGCAACATGGGCAACCATCTACGGTGCCACGAGGAGCACGTAGGGCACCATCTGAGACAAAGGGGCGCCCTTAGACGCTCCACTGGAGTGCCGGAGGTTTCGATTGGCACTCGTTGTATGATAAATAACGTAGTTTTTTCTTCTTTTTTTTAACCTACAGCTATTATTACTGCGACCGAAGAGGAACAAAATTCATATGCTAAACCGAGGTCACGTGTTCATATCTTAAATTATTATTAATTATAGCGATCAACAATTAATCAATCAATTCACAAATAAATAGTAATACTGTTCGGAAGGCTTATTAAAATTAGGTCTATTAAAATCATACACATACACGGCCATATAATAACCTTAATTTAGTCTGATTTTATGGGTTGAAGATGTTATTAAAAATTAACCTTATTGGTATAGTGCAGGTCTGGGCAATTTTTGTCTGTAGAGATCTCAATCTGAGCCTCACATGTCTGCAGGGGGCATTTCTAACCTGATCATTTTATGTCCCATGAAAACTACATAAGAACACTTCTTTTTTGGGTGCTCTTTTTTGCGTGCCACCATGGACGCCGTTAGGTTCGATCACTCGGGGCTATAGCCCCCGAATATTTTAAGCTTCGCCCTGAGTATTATAGCCCTGGTGCCAATCTTCCGTCCTTGAAAAGAAATGTAAAGCCCCAGGTAAACTTGACTTAGCCCCTGATCTTTTCAATAACTAGAAATTCCCCTGCGTGCAACTATGAATGTCGCTATTGTATTTGCGATTATTCAAGCAAGAACATAAAACACCCTTTTCATTTTAATGATCGCTTTTGGCCAAGTCTGGTTTCGGTTAGAGAATGCCTGACAAGTGAGCTTGCGCTCTTTTTTGTGTGCTCACTGAGGAATAGAGCGCCGTCGCCACCTAGCGTCATGCCTTGGAGTCACTTTTAAATTTTCATTTCACTTTCCAAAAGGAAAAAGTCACATTCGACAAAAATGTGGAAGAAAACCGAGTATTCGGTTATGATCGGCATTCTGTCATGTGATTTGCATTGTGCCATGTGCAGTCAAGCCTAATCAATCTGACAAAAACACAGTCTGGGCAGCCTGGAGTAGGGTTTGGACATACTGCTGTATGGGAATAGGAGTGTGAGTAATGTTAGGATCAGTCACTATACTGCTGAAGGTTTGAAATGCTTTTGCTTATTATTTTGTGCCATTTTCTAATAGAAGTAATGGAAGTGTTATCATATTCTGAGAATTGTAAAAGCAGAGGTGGAGATGTACTGAAAAGGGGCCGGCAGATCACCCAGGTCAGCCAATCAGCATCCTGCATTCTCCTTCTCCTTGCATCTGGTTGGACACAGATGTATTTCTGATTGCAGTTCAACCCATTTGTCCACTCCCTTATTCAGAGATTATCATACTTTTTCTAACCTGACCTCACTCTTTCTACCAAATCCTTAGCCTCTCACTCCTTCATAAGCCCGTAATCTTTTAACTTCTGCATTACATGCACTTGTATGTCACCTGTGATATTCATGGTCTGTTTATCCACATTATACACAGCTTCTGCTGACATGTCATTCAAGTCCATATTTCTGTTAGTTTATGCTAGGAAAAGTGACAAATCTATCAACTCCTTAAACTGGTAAATTATACAGACTTTAAATAATCATTATGTTAACATTAGTACAGCACTTTTTCCAAGCAAGTGTGTTAGAATGATTTACATAAGTATTGGAAAATAAATAACTAAATACAGAAGGTGATAGAACATTTAAAAAATATTGCTCTGAAGAAAGTAAAGGATAATTCTTTCTATGAAATTACATTATTGCTATGGCTATTGCAATTGCAATCACTATATTAAAATGTGGCTTATCATGGACGACAACAACTGGGGCTGAACAGATGCAGCTGATGATCACCGGTTGGTGACTGAGGCAGATGACTCTGCGCGACACTACATCCTGCTGAAATGTCATTGTCACATTGACTCTATGGTTGGCTGGGGGCCTGGGTTTAGTAAGCGACTGGTCAGCTGCCACCAGGTCGTACCCTTCTGCTCTCCTGTGTACTGGTGGCAGGAAGGAGCTGAAACATAATATGGCATTTTCACAAAAGCGCCTGGAAGAAACTGCAAGTCTTGCAGGCTGGCTGGCCTCCACAGATGCAGAATTAATATAGAGATGCAATGTGAAGGTCATGTGCAACAATCTAGACTCAGAACTGGCATGGACTGTGGTAGGAGGCTTACTCCGGCCCACCCATTCAGCATACACTGAGCATTACAGCACAATAAAACCAATGTGTCTGACAGGTATGTGTGTGCGTGGTTAGCTCCATCAGAGGAAATGTGCTGCTGAGACGCAAATCGATTTTTCTTTTCGTTTGATATTAGGAATGCCTCAAGTCATTGAAAAACCGATAAATAAAAAATATGTAGTTGAGTCTGTAGTGTGATTTTGCCACCAGCTGAATTATTATGGGACAGGCCCACCTGATTTTTCTGCCATCCCGTCCGCGCCATGATTTCTAGCTTCGCTGTTGGTAAGAGGAGCTGAGATGCAGCCATGACCATCAGATCAGTTTGTATCAGATATGCTCTGCTTTAGAGTGTAATGGACATGGGGTCTGTCCTTTGTTGGAGTGGGTAGTTTGATAATATCATTAAGAATGGTTTGATAATGTCAAGGAATTGGCAGCTGACTGTGAAGTAGCCATGGTTACCACACGTGTGTGGTGCTGATCGCCCCCGACTGGTGCACTGTGGGTTCCTGGCGGACTGCCACATCCTGGGGTGATGCTAGAAATTTTGGCCCCCATGAAAACATATCATATTTAGCCCCCAACTGAGACCAGTCCATATATGTTTCAAATTCTTTAGGGCCCCTGTCCTTACTTTCCCGGCCTTTATGGCCCCTGGCCACATCCCACCGTCTTTTAATGTTACTCATACTATGACATGAATAAACACAACATACATGGTAACAAAATTCAAATTTAAATTTTAATTTCTCTGGTACGATTTGTTTTTACATTTTTTTACCTAATATTTCTTAATACCAGGAATCCATGATGCGCCTCATGGACATGAACCTCATGCCACCGAAGTTCCTGTACTCCCCAGGCCAGAAGTACCTCATCCTGCCCCTGTAGTGGGGCTGCTCATACATCAGCCAGTGGCCGTCCATCACGTGGCAGGACATGCAGTTGGACCAGCGGTAACGA